GAAAGGTGCTTACTTGGCGGTGACGTGGCGCGTTGACCGTTAGTCAATGCGTTTGACCGTCCAAGATAACAGTCAATTTTCGGGTTTGACCAATTTTGTTAGTTTAGTGTAACGTTCATGTCATGATGTTATAGATCGAAAAGATTTGTCAGGATGTTTATCATGTGAAAAGTTCAGATCATACAAATATATTAACCCTATTGGCCTATTCTATTCAAATGTAGCTCAATGCTTTGCTATATCCTAGATTCCACGCGGTTCCTCATATATTGATATGAACTTCATGTCATGGTGAAATGAGGTGAAATGAGAAACATGGTGTAGAGTAAAAAGACGAGAAAAGTGATGTGATGTGATGTGGGTGTATATGAAGTGGATTCAAGAAGGGTGATTATGGTTAATGGAGGTGATTAGAATAGTAACTGAATTAAGGCTAATTATCTCAGTCGCTTTTAAGGTTGGTAAGATCGGTTTCACTCATAGAATCGTTGAATTAAACTGTTGTTATTGCTACTAAGCACCAACCACATAAGGTCGCGACAAAACTAATCCCTCCTCTCATCCCTCTAATGTTAATTGCATTGTAGGGTACCAACCAAACCACTAGCAGTACTAACCATCTATCTTCTGATCGTGAGTGTGGCTGGGTTTGTTGCCTCGTCTGCATCTAACTCCTCAAGCCAACGGTCCAATTTTGTGGCTAAATTCCCATCCATGATAAAGGCCTTTCCTTAATACCATACATATCATACTTATTTTGTTCATTTTAAAAAAAATTTATGTGCGGATCGAATGTTTGATACCTGGACTTTACTATATTGAATTGCACCACGCCTATACAAAATTGAATGAATACTCTATTCAAGATTACATGAACCATTATTTAAGCTGATAGAAACCTATTTCTAGGGTTATATCGGTTAGGTTGGAAAATTGAGAATTGATAGAGATTTAGGGATTTAGAAGAGAATTAGGGATTAGGGACAGAATTGGGGAAGAACAGAAAGAATGGCCGAAGCCTCTAGAGAGAAAGATATTAGGGTTTTGGGGAAGGATGATTTTTCTATTAATTTCTGCTTAATCGAACAAAAGACTCCAAATACATTTTTATAGCGAAAGAGTGGAAAAACCTAACAGACTATCCTAATATGACTCAAAAACTACTAACCATATATAATAAAATCCTCATACTAACTACAATAATAATAATAATATAATAGAAACCGTATAAGCGAATTGAACAAACGAAAGACCGTATTTCTTTATTTGCTCCATGTTCTGGTGTCAATTCACCATAAAAAAATGGTTGGGTATATCTATATGAGATTTATTATAATGGCATACTCTATTTCCCCTCACTACTCAATTAATGCGTGTCCTAGGAAATTTTCCTAGTCATGCTTAATAGAAAGGGAGAAATTTTTGGTAGTTGATCTAATCAAAAGCAAAGAAAAAAGGGAGGAAGAGTTAGGTTGTGGGAAAATGAGACTTGGCTTGGAATCTGGAGCTTCAACATCAGGAGCAAGCCAGAAGCGGCTTTCGTTTCCCATTTTTGTTTCCATTTCATTTGCCCTCACCGTTACTTACTTACTTGTGAATAAAGATATCAGTCACAAGGGGGAAGACACATGAAGAGGGCACAAAAAGGGGGGGAATTGATGTCTACATTTCACACCTCATCTTTGCTTAACTTGCAGTCTACTACCCACCTGGATGTGTATATATCTATATGGTAAGAAGAAAATGAAAGGAAAAATTTCCACCCCAACCCATGTTTTGAAATCAAGGTAACTCCGGTCTTAATTATTTATAGGTTGATCGGTACGTCTCGTAAGTGGTAGGTATTTTCTACGATAAACACTGAATTAGAAGCTTACTATCCAAAGTCAACATGTTTGTCAACAGACCAAACCCATCAATGGGTAATTTTTTTTCCCGTTAATTGTTGGCTCCAAACTTCGACACCAAAATGTGGTAGATACTCCATCACCTGTAGGCCAGACTTTTATTTTTTTTGTATGTGGTCCAAAATGATTATAATTTTGGATGGGGAGATGGAAACAAACAATTGGGTGAATGGGATTGCAATGGACCTTTTGTGGATTTTGTTTAGTTGTTTTGTTGTTATACATGCACTTGAAGGAAAGGGTGGGGTTAGGGCAATGATGCCTTATTTGGTATCTCCATAAGGCATAGGTTTTAAAAGATATATTTGGTGAAGAGAAGCCATCAAAAGAACTCGAATTAGAAACTTCACAATTCCAAAGTCTAGCAAGTAGGAACTTGGGTTTGATACATTTTGGACTGTGGATTGAGGATGTCTTCTTTTCCCTCCATCGCTATAATCTAGAGGCCAATAAATTAAGGTAAGCCATCAATTCTCCTCTAAAAAGAACAAAAACCACATGACTTAGGAATGACATATAGTCTTGAATTGTACAAAATCAAACCCCCTTTTGATACATAGAGCAAGACGTTGTCAAATACATGGTTGTAGCAATGCAAAGTAGCTTTATTTATCGTTAAACAAAACGTGCCACTGCAAATGTACAAATTAGTGATATCAAAAGACCAATTGCTTGACGTTTCCAAAAACGTCTGAGTTATTACTATAAATTTATGTTATAACACGATATTAGATATATTGATGAGAAAGAAATATATGCTAGAATCTTAGAAACTTATGAAACTAATGGAAGCAATTGTTTTTTATTTTAAGGAAGCTTCAAACTCATTTGATAGGCTTCCATCAGAGGAGATGTGTAAGGAATAGTGAATTTGTAAAATTATAATCTTTTTTATTTGAGAAGAAACACAGAGCATTTATTTGGCAAAGTCCATACACTCCATTCCTTAAGAATTTACACATTTAAGTATGAAGATCATAAGGGCCGTAATAGCATGTTAATTGCACATGAACTAATGGGCCATTGAGCTTGGGGGTGGGGAGAAAGATGTGACATGAACATAAATAGTCTCGAGAATCGTCTAATCCTAATAATTCGATTTGTTGAAAGAGGTTTTTTTTCTTCTACTCCAGCTACATTAGAGGGACAAATTGTGAAGCACCACAACAAGGTTTACTTTGCATCTTGATGCATGGTTTTGAGGAAGTAGGGTCCAAAGTCGAAACTTGAAAGTTGTATTTGTATAGGTCTTTTCTTCTCATTTATTTACCTTATCATTTGTTTTGTGATAATAAAAGGGAAACTGATGTGCTGGCGATGTGGAAGCGCCCAGCAGACAGAGAAGCAGAGGTTGAATGAATGTTGAATATACATGGCCATGGAATTGGATGGAGTAAAATCAAACCCGAAGAGAAATGCCAAAAGACAGAATTAATGGAACTGCCAGACGACCAGACCAGAAAAACACTGCAAGCAAAGCAAAGCAAAGCAAGGAAGGGACTTTTTTTAGGGTCAGAGGGTCCACCATGTGACCACAACAAGAGACGATGGATGGCGGGGGAGACCACCACCTTCCTCTGTCCCTTCTCCTTCTCCACTCCCCATAGATCAGGTTAGGACCTTAACACCGTAAATACGCGTATTTCGTATTAGTTTTGCAACCATTGAATGCATGCGGTGACAATTATCTATCAAATTGTTACAATGTATGTTTGAACGAGTGGTACGATTAAGTAATGTGGTAGGGGCATCTCACTACCAGAGTGTTCTCTTTGCCTTTACTGTTCCTTCCTTCCCTTTTTTTTTTTTTTTCTTTCCTGCTTTCTTTGTGCTGGATCCCTTTTTCTCTAGTCTTATGCTGTTTAATTAGTGACAGAAAAAGGCGGTTCAAGTGTCAATTATGTCACGCTGTGACTGATCTCTCTCTCTATGGACACATAATTGTGCCCAAAAAAAGAAAGCCAAGCATATGTAAGAGAGAAAGTAAGCTGCAGTCTTTGATGGGAAAAAAAAGGGGATTATGTTTCTTTATTACTTTGCTTGGTTAAGGTTGGGTGATGGAGGCTTCCTTGTTTGAGAGAGCGATGCATACAATAGTTATAACCCTAAGAAATAAAAAGGGGGTTCGATGCATGTGAGATTTTGTTGCATGTGGAGGAGAAGAAGCAAACAACGAATAAAGATCCCCCAAGGAAAAGGGGAAATATAAGGAAGAAAGGCAGGAAAATAAGAAGAGAGAGAGGAGAATGGAGGTTTGTACACAAATCATTGTACCTTCTAATAACCCCAAGAGAGAAAATCATGTACACGTTGGAAAATTGGTGGTTCTGAAATGAATAAACAAGGGAAAAAATGAGAAGAAAAATGAAGAGTGGGAAAACATTCTAGCAGTTGCTGCTGCTTCCACGCTCGACTCTCTCTCTCTCTCTAGCCCCCTCGTGCTCCAACTTCTGACAGTCAGAATCCCGCCGGTGGCCGGTGGTGGTGGTGGGAGACGGTGGTTGTCATGATTCTGCGATCACGTGTACTGTTCTTTCTCTTTTCTGGGATACTTCTCTTTCTCTCTCTCTCTCTCTCTCTTCTTTTACCATTTTGGCTTTTGTTGAGGCCTCTTTTTATTGAAAAAATCACACACAATAAAAAAGGTGATGGTAAACAACTCCAATGAAGAAGAATCACCCGTAGTGAAAAAAGGATACAACTTGTCTAATCTTAGAGAGGAAATTACCACGCGTCCTATATAAGAAACACAAAGGAAAACTGAAAGGGAGAGGTGAAGTACTTACTGTTGGAGTGAAATAGTAGAAAATGGAGGAGTAAGCTTTCTAAAACGTGGAGTGAAGGACATGCTTAAAAGGGGCAAAACCGTAATAACTCCCCCAACCTAAATACATGGAGTCAGGGTGTCTAACTATTTGGTTTTGTCCATACCAAATTAATGAGAATCGCCGTCCAAAAGTAAACTAAAAGAGATCTTAGGATCAACGATCGAATCAACATTACTCGTGGTTTGTTTTGATTTGATCTTAATGATACTTCGATACTGTTTTCTTCAATATTTATAAAATTCCTGGAATCAAAAGATCAAATCACAATATATTCAGTTCCATATAATTTGATTTAAACGTCGGTTTAATCGGGTGCAATCCAGACAGACCAATCTATTCCACACCCTAGCTCAGCTGAGCAGAGGTCACAGGAGTAGAGTAAAGAAGAGTGGTGAAAAAGGACAAAATGGAGCCAACAAGAACACCATAGACACTGGTTATTAGAGGTCGCATTTCATCACTTCGGTTAGGCACAGAAAAGGTAAAAGAGAAAGCCGTTGAATGTGAGAGAGAGAGAGAATCAGGAGGGAGGATAGGGGTAGTTTGGGGAAGAGTGTGCTCAAAGTTCTTTTTGGTCAGTTTTTGTTACCAATAAACAAGTAATATTAGTTAGTTACTTCACAGGACAGGAGCACCAGGAAGCAAGCAAACCAACAACTGCAAGAAGGAAGTGGGTGGTAGACTGGTGAGGAAGAAGAAGAAGTTAAGGTTCCAAGTGAGTGAGTGAAGGTTAAGGAAAATGATAGTGGTTGTTGTTGTTGCCATTGCTGTTGTTGTTACAGTTGCCTGCCCCTGCCGCCTTACTTCTATTCCCCCTTTCTTCTCCTTCTCCTTCTACCTGTAATCACTCTTTCCCTTCTCCCTCTCTTTTCCTCTATTCTTAATTTTCCCCAACTACCCCTATCACTTTCTCTCTCTCTCTCTCTCCCTCTCCTCCTCCCTTTTTCACATTGTCTTTCTCTTCCTAGAAATACCCACTTCCCAAAATTTCCTCGTTTTTAGCTGCTGCTCTTACTCTCTTATTTCCCTACTTCTTGTTTTTCACATTTTTGGGTCTGAAACTCTGAATTCAGGAGGAGGGTGTGGTGATTTCTTGCTAAAGTTGCGAACTTTGTGGTCTGAATTCACTGCTGCTCGAAATTTGTGCTGTCCTTTCCTCTGGGGTTCTATGATGGATGCACCGCCGTCTCCTTCCCCTGTTTCTCCTCCCGGCGGCGGTGGAGGAGGGGAGGATTGTTGTGTAAAAGTAGCGGTACACGTCAGACCGCTCATCGCCGACGAGAAAGCTCAAGGATGTAAAGATTGCGTCACTGTCGTCCCTGGGAAGCCTCAGGTACGGCATTTTCCTCTTAGAGTGTCTGCTGCCCTTTATTTACTGCCCCCTGAAGTTAATGCCCGCCAAAAAAAAGTGAATAAAGGATGAAGCAATGGGTTGGGTTTTGTTTGTTCGGTCAGCAGAGTGAGAAATGAACAGAAAGCTTTGATCTTTCTTGCTATGGTGATGGATTGAGCCAGAGTGGTAGGAGATCTAGATCTCAGCAGCTGCGGGAAGTGGGAACCTTGAGGATTTTGTTTTTTTCTTTTTTCCGCTTCACTGCTGGTAGTTCATTTTTTTTTTTTTAATACTAAAACGGGAAATTTACCAGAGTGTCGTGGTTTCTTTTTGACCCGTCACTGCGAAGTAGGAGTTTTTGGGTGGGATGACGGGAGGAAGTGCAGAAGCCCAGAAAAGTGATCTCCTTCCCATTTCCGTATTTGGCTATTTTGTATTCTCGAAATTGGATTTGATAAAAAAAAAATTCAGGTGAAAAAGGTTGAATGGTCATTCTCTGTGATGGGAAAGTTTTTGCGGCCAATTTCTGGTGTCGGCTATTTTGTTTTGTTCCTTTCTGTTTTCCTCCATACGTATACTACTAGCTCAAATTTTGTAATTACAGTTCCAAGTTCTAAGGCAGTTAGGCTAATGGTGCAGGTTCAAATAGGTACACATTCCTTTACATTCGATCACGTCTATGGGAGCTCGGGTTCACCATCGACAGCCATGTTCGAGGAGTGTGTTGCTCCATTGGTTGATGGCTTGTTCCAGGGTTACAATGCTACTGTCCTTGCCTATGGTCAGGTAGGTATTCAAAGGTTTGATGTTGAATGGGAATCATCATCAGTGTCATTGTTCTTCTGTTCAATTTGTTGAATGCAAGTATTTATTCGCAGACGGGATCCGGAAAGACATATACAATGGGTACCGGTTTCAAAGAAAGCTACCAAGCTGGAATAGTTCCTCAAGTGATGAGTGTACTGTTCGGAAAGATCGAAACTTTGAAGCATCAAACTGAATTCCAGCTCCATGTTTCATTCATTGAGGTTTGTTGTAGCGTTCTGTGATGCCTTCCTTCACTAAAATTCTACCTGTCTACTCGTGTCTGATTGTACCTAACTTAGAGAGTGTTCTTCTATTGTGTGACAGATTCTGAAAGAAGAAGTGAGAGACTTGCTGGATCCCTCGTGTCTGCACAAAGCAGAATCTCCCAATGGACATGCAGGGAAAGTAAACGTGCCAGGAAAGCCACCAATACAAATTCGAGAATCTTCAAACGGCGTGATAACGCTTGCAGGATCCACGGAAGTTAGTGTTGGCAGTTTGAAGGAAATGGCCGCTTACCTCGAGCAAGGATCGTTGAGCAGGGCAACTGGGAGTACAAATATGAACAACCAATCAAGGTAAGTTATTCCTATATGGAGTACAATAGCTGGCTTCCACAGTAAGTCTAAGATCCAGGAGATAGTAAGAGATAATGAAAAGATGATACTAGCATTCTCTTTGCCGGTTTTAATCATTTGGGGCGATTGTTTTCACTTGTTGGTGTAGCCGTTCCCACGCTATTTTCACCATCACGCTGGAGCAAATGCAGAAAAACAACTCACTCTCTACTGGAGATGGGAGTCAAAACGATGGGATGAACGATGAGTATCTTTGCGCTAAGTTGCATTTGGTAGATCTAGCAGGATCTGAGAGGGCCAAGAGGACAGGTTCAGATGGCTTGCGCTTCAAGGAAGGTTGTTTTTTGCATTTATTTATTTTTAATTATGTTTTGATAAATTCTTGTTCAAGATGGAACTTATGTATTTTTTCTATTTATACAAACAGGCATTCACATCAACAAGGGGCTTTTGGCACTTGGCAATGTGATCAGCGCACTTGGGGATGAGAAAAAGCGGAAAGAAGGTCTTCATGTTCCTTATCGGGACAGTAAATTGACTCGGCTTTTGCAGGACTCGCTTGGCGGTAACAGCAGAACTTGCATGATAGGTAGTTTTGCATGCATTTGTCTTCTTATTCTTCTACCACTTATTTTTAAATGCATTTCTCTAACATTGTGAAAATGCATCTCTTGCTTTTCCCAGCTTGCATTAGCCCTGCTGATATAAATGCAGAGGAAACCCTGAACACTCTAAAGTATGCGAATCGTGCTCGGAATATTAAAAACAAGCCTGTTGTAAGTACCTGGCAATAATTTAGGAAATGCAATCTATTGTTTGTACCGAACCTATCATTGAACATCCATTTTGCATCTTCTTGTTTTCATAGGTCAATAGAGATCCAATGTCAAGTGAGATGCTTAAAATGCGGCAACAGCTGGAGTATCTTCAGGCAGAACTCTGTGCCCGAGGAGGATCTTCATCTGATGAAGTGCAAGTATGTTTAAATGATGACCTAAACTATCTTGCATTCCTTATCATTTCACTGCATAGTTGGTCTAAGAGATCTCTCATGGTGTAGGTACTCAAGGAAAGAATCACATGGCTTGAAGCTACAAACGAGGATCTCTGTAGAGAGCTTCATGTATATCGCAGCAGGTGTGCTGCTGTGGATCCCCGTGACATAGATGCTCAAGTATGTTACAAACTCCTTGTATTCTTTTAGAATAGCCTTTTCTTTTATTAAGCTTGCTGTTAATTTGAATAAAACCAATGTACCATTAGGTAGGCTGTAGGGATTGAATGTAGAAATTTCACTTTTTCCCCTCCTTTCAGGACACTAGTATATGTTCTGTAAAAGGTGAGGGACTCAAAAGGAGCTTACGCAGTCTAGAAGCATCAGACTATCAAATGGTTGAAACAGTACAGAGCGATACTAGAGAAATTGATGATGAAGTAGCTAAAGAATGGGAGCACACGCTTCTCCAAAGCACAATGGACAAGGAGCTGCACGAGTTGAACAGGCGCTTGGAAGAGAAAGAGGTATGTTTTTCTTTTCCAGGTGATACTTTATGCTGAAACATGCACAAACGACCTTACATGCTAATCCTTGTACATCTACGATCTAATCTCAACTAATCCAAAATTCCACTTAAAGCTTGCATTTCAGTTTTTCTGATGTTTGTTGTTATCTTAAATTTATGAGCAGTCGGAGATGAAACTTGTTGGAGGTTTTGACACTGTAGCACTCAAGCAACATTTCGGCAAGAAAATCATGGAAATGGAGGATGAGAAAAGAGTTGTGCAGGTTTAAGATTGCACCTAGAAACCTTTTTGTTGTTTTATCTTGCTAGTCCAGTTTCATTTTATCGGACTGCTTATTTTGACTGCAGCAAGAACGAGACCGTTTGCTAGCTGAAATCGAAAATCTCTCAGCTGGCTCGGATGGGCATGCCCAGAAATTGCAAGATGTTCACTCCCAGAAATTGAAGACATTAGAGACACAGGTTTGTTATATCTTTCTCTTTCAGAGAGACTGTTCAGCCATTTCATGTTGAAGTTGTCATAAACAAGCTTTGTAAATTGCTGTAATTCCAGATTTCAGATCTGAAGAAGAAACAGGAGAGCCAGGTCCAGCTTTTGAAGCAGAAACAAAAAAGTGATGAAGCGGCAAAGAAATTGCAAGAAGAGATACAATCTATAAAGGCCCAGAAGGTCAGATAGACACTTCAATTATTCAGAGTCTGAAATTGTACCTTTTTCGTGGCATTTTGCTTAATCTCTGTGTATGTGTCCTTGTTTTTTTTTCTTGCTTGCACAGGTTCAATTGCAACACAGAATGAAGCAAGAGGCTGAACAATTTCGACAATGGAAGGCCTCTAGAGAAAAGGAATTGCTTCAGGTATCATTTCAAAGCCTCGCTTGAGAATATACTGCTGCTGTAAAGGATTTGATCAGTACAGAAGGTTGATTGGGTTTTGACATGTCTGGTTCTCAGCTGTATTTTGCTCTAAAGCAGTTTGTATATGCTTTTGTTCCGTTGTAGCTACGCAAGGAGGGGAGAAGAAATGAATACGAAAGGCATAAGCTACAAGCAATAAACCAGCGCCAGAAAATGGTGAGCCTCTTCGAAGCTTACAATGCCCCAGTATTTCGCTGTATCAAAATTAGAAATATTGTGATTGTAAAGCTGTCTACTGTTTGACATAGACAACTTTTGCATTTTACAGGTTCTGCAAAGAAAAACAGAGGAAGCTGCTGTTGCTACCAAGAGACTAAAGGAACTGCTTGAAGGCCGAAAATCTTCTCCACGTGAAAACGGTAAAACCCGATTCTCTCTTTCGTACTTGTTCATTACATGCCACTATCTGTAACAGAACTCTTTCCAATAGCTTTCTTCTCATTCTTTCCAACGAAATGACTTGGTCATATTACATTTGCCAGGTCTTTCCAATGGACATGTAGCCAATGGACAGGTACTTTCTATTTCTTTTCTCCCTTCCCGAGGAAACTTCTTTGCTTAGCCATCATGGAGAATTGGTTTAAAATTTAATCTTTGAAACTCTCTATTGCAGAGCAATGAAAAATCTCTACAAAGATGGCTTGATCATGAGCTAGAAGTCATGGTGAATGTTCATGAAGTTCGCTTCGAGTATGAGAAGCAAAGCCAAGTGTAAGAAATCATTCTGTAGCCAGCAATTTAGAGCTTTGGATCGTCTACTTCATAATCTAAATCTCACTGTGGTGTTCATATTCAGGCGAGCTGCACTGGGCGAAGAGCTTGCTGTGTTGAGACAGGTGGATGAGCTAGCTTCAAAAGGATTAACCCCTCCAAAGGGAAAGAATGGATTTGCTAGGTACAATGGTTATCGAAGTGATTGCATAGATGAATGAAAAAAAATGCTCCAGTATATTGAACCAGTTCTTCTTTCTTCTCTCTTCAGGGCTTCATCCATGTCACCGAATGCCAGAATGTCCAGAATAGCCTCACTCGAGAGCATGTTGAACATATCATCTAACTCTCTCGTGGCTATGGCTTCACAACTTTCAGAAGCAGAAGAGCGTGAACGCAGCTTCACCACCCGTGGGCGTTGGAACCAATTGAGGTCCATGGGAGAGGCCAAGAGCTTGCTTCAGCACATGTTCAACTCTCTGGGGGATGCAAGGTGCTCGATCTTTCTTGACCATGGATGCCATAAATTTTAAGTTTCATGCATATAAGCTTCTATGAGGTAACCTGAGAATGAAACACTCATTCAAATGTTTGGATGTCTAACAATAGGTGCCAAATGTGGGAGAAGGATATGGATATCAAGGAAATGAAGGAACAGTTCAAAGAACTTGTTAACCTATTGCGTCAAAGCGAGACTCGAAGAAAGGAAGTCGAGAAGGAGCTGAGGTTGAGAGAACAAGCAGCTGCTATTGCTTTGGCTACAGCAGCTTCAGTAGGGGTAAATATGAAAGCATTCATGATTCGGCAACAAAATTTATGAACCCAACTTGGGCAACAATTTCTGACGATGATGACCATTTTTCAGGCTGGCCATGAACAAGGAACCCCGCCAAATTCACTAAAACACGGTGCTGATGAAATGATGAGCAGTCCCTTGTCTCCGGTATCTGTGCCAGCACCGAAACAGCTAAAATATACACCAGGAATAGTGAATGTCCCAGTCAGAGAATCAGCAGCTTTTATAGACCAATCGAGAAAAGTTAGTATCTTTCTTTTATTTCCCCGCTTGAACCCTAAGTGCTCTCCAAACTACATCAAATTTTCAGAAGAATGCCAGCAATTCACCAACAAACCACCCAAACATTCAAACAAGACCTGGAAGTCCACCAACCCATCCCTTGCCATCTCTACATTAAGGATTAGCACAGTATTTAACTTTCTGCTGATGTTTGCAGATGGTACCGCTGGGGCAAGCATCAACGAGAAAACTAGCAGTTGCAAGCCAAGGTGGGAAGCTGTGGAGATGGAAGAGAAGTCATCATCAGTGGCTGTTGCAATTCAAGTGGAAATGGCAGAAGCCATGGAGGCTATCCGAGACAATCAGGCTCAGTGACGGGACAATTACAAGGACGAAGCACCGTGTACAGTACCGAACACGTGTGTCATAAGCTGTGAGCAACTTGGGTTACTCTCACCATAATCTCTCCATCTTAGAGCTATAAGTGTGGTTCTAATGCGCTTCTATTGGAGGTAATCTTTGCTTCGAAATGTTTCTCCATTTCCACATTGCTGTCAATTGAGATGTTGATTCCTGAATGTTCCGACATTGTAGAGGGAGCGAGCTATGCTTGTAGCTGAGATGGATGGGTTGATTTTGAAAGGAAGCTAGGGTTTGATACTTCTAATGCTGCTGGGGAGCATCTTTGTAAAGCATTGGTTTGGTGATGCTGCCCCGTGATCATATATATACTAATGAAGAACTGAGGAAAACGCAGTTGTTCGACTGGTGAGATGTCTTATGTTCTGCCAAATATACCTAGTACTCTGTTCAATAACCCAACACCTTGGATGGAAACACTCTCATCAAGGATGTCCGCACAAAAATTGCACAAGGAAGAAGAAGATCTCTCTGCCTTGTGTTTGTTTTTGGTCCTACTATTAGGTGTAATGTTGTTCTTTTTTCTTTTTGTATCTGCCTAATTTGTGCCATTATTTTAGTGTGTAAAGCACAAAAGTTGATAAGAGGGGATATTCTTTGTGAACGGAGATTTGTTTTAGCAGTGTGGATATGTAAGAAGACAGCAATATATGTCATCATCTTATATGTACAAAAGGAAAATTAACTTCAAGATCTATTTACCCTTGTAGTCAGTCTGCTTCTTGTTTGGGGTTCATTTATGATCGAAATATGTAACAATTCATCCTTATTTACCATACGATGTTCACTGCAAATTGTAATTAACACTTAACAGGGACTTGTTGGTTAAAAAGACATAGTAATGGGACAAAAAGTGCAATTAACCCATGCACAGAACTTTAGTCCAGTACTTGTTTGTTCAATGTAAGCAGATGAAGCTGGCGCCATCAGATCACCCACAGGAATTCAAGACAACGGTTGGGCTCCAGTGAATTAAGAATGGTTTTCAGTTTTCCTTGACCTGGACTTGCAAGCTCAACCCTTCTTGCGGCCCATCAAACTCAATCCATTTTTGTACCCTAAACAAAATAATATCCAGTCAAAATGCAGGACCAGAGGAATTATACATCACCTACTGAACCAATCAATTAGAGTCTACACTCTACACTACAAGCTAATCCTTCAAACAACGACAACTTAAACCGACGTCCCATCCTCACTCCTTGTAACTACCTCCGCTCCATCCTCCTCCACCGACGCCGTCTCCTTAACCTCCTGCAACATCTTCAACACCTGCCACATCGTCGGCCTCTGCTCTGCCGCCGCCGACCTACACTTCACCGCCATTTCCAGCAGCATCTCCATCCTCACATTCCCTCCCCCGCCCTCCTCCATCCCACCTCCGCCGCCCATCACCAACTCCGTCATCTCCTCCGGCGCCATCCGCCGCAGCTCCGACGGCGCCCTCCCCGTCAGCAACTCCATCAGCAGAATCCCAAACGAATACACATCAGACTTCGTCGTTGCCGCCTCCGAATTTTGCATCTCCGGCGCCCTGTAAGCAGCCGCGTCCCGATCTTCCTCTTCCGGCGGAGAAGAATCGGCGAGCACGGCGAGGCAGTAATCGGCGATGCACGCCTCGAATTCCGGCCCGAGCAAAACGTTGGTTGACTTCAAATTGCCGTGGACCAGCCGCCACGCTTGGTGTATATAAGCCAGCCCCTGCGCCACGTCCTCCGCTATCTTCAAACACGACGTCCAGTGCATCGGCTTCCCCTTCGCCGATCTAGAACCTGGCCGCCGACCAACACAACCAAAAAAAACTATTGAGTAAAGCTTCTCCAGTCAAACAACGTTGACCAACTCTGACTGGGCCCTGGGGCCCATAAAAAAATCTAGTGAGATGGGCTGGATGCTTACCGTGGATCAGGGAGTGTAAGCTACCGTTGGGCTGATAATCGTAGACGAGAAGCCGCTCCTGCCTGGCCTGGAAATAAGCCCTCAACGGAACCAAATTGGGATGCCGGAGCCCGCCCACCGATTCCATGTGCGACTCGAACGATTCCTTGCTGGTGCCGCTCAATCGGACGGCGTCCAACCGCTTCACGCAGACGATCAGACGGCTGTCGAGCACGGCCTTGTAAGTGGTCCCCACCGTGCCTCTCCCCAGCAGCTCAGCCGAAGCTCGCATCAGCTGGTCCAGCGTATACAGCTGCTCCTCCCCGCAGCAGAACATCAGGCTCCCGCTCTTCGTCTTCCCAGCCAGAAGCATCCCTTGCGCCCTCCTCACTCTCTCCTCCAGCTCGCTCTCCTGCTGGTCTATCTGCAACACGGCGTCGTCGAGCACAACGGCCGCCTTCTCCGGCGACGAAAACTCGCTCTGGCTCCTCCGTCTCCTCCTAATCGCCACCGCGAAACAGAGCAGCAGCGACGACAAAATAATCGCGAAAACCGCCGCAGAAAATCCGATAATCACCGATTTCCTCTTGTGGTGGTCTGGATCTCGGCTCGGATGAGTTAAATTGACGCCGCGGAGCTCCGCGGATTGGCCCGAGGGCGCCGCCGGCGCCGTCGGCCGTGACGGCGAGGGGGAGCCGAAGAAGGGAGTTCCGGGATGGCACTCCCTTTTCAAGATCTTGCCGCAGAGGTTAGGGTTTAGGGAGAAGGACGAGATCTCGAGGCGGAGGAACGTAGGGGTGAGGGGAATCGCTCCATTGAGGTCGACATTGTGGGAGACGTTGAAGGAGATGAGGGAGGACTGGTTGAGCGGCGGGATGGAGTCGTTGAATCGATTCCACTCGAGGCGGAGGGAGTTCAATCGGTCGAGGGAGGCGAGCCATCGGGGCAAGGGGCCGGAGAGGCTGTTGTGGGAGAGGTCGATGGTGCGGAGGCGGTGGAGGGAGGAGAGGGAAGGTGGTAAAGAGCCGGAGAAGTAGTTGTGGTCGAGGAAGAGGGATTTGAGGTTGAGGAGGTTGGAGAGGTCGGGGATTGGGCCGGTGAGGGAGGTGTTTTGTAAGCCGAGGACGCGGAGCTGGTCGAGTGAGGTTAGGGTTTCGGCGGGGAAGACGCCGCCGAGGAGGAGGTTCTGGAGGACGAGGTGGGTGATTCGGTTATGGAGGCAGCGGACGCCTTGCCAGTGGAGGCAGAGCTGGGGGGAGGATTTGTGGGAGTAATGGAGGGTGGAGTGTAAATCTGCTTTGGATTTGAATGCGAGGAGGGATTCGGCGTCGGAAGGAGGCGGGGAGGGAGAAGATGAAGCGGGTAGAAGAAGGAGGAGGAGGAGGAGGAGGAGGAGGTAGTTGTTGGTCATTTTTGTTGCGGCTGGCGGTGGAGGAATGGTGGTTGGGTTAGGGATGGAGGGGATGATTGGCCATGGCGGAGAGGGTTTAGGGAGGGAGAAGGAAGCGCTAGGTGACAAAGAGGGGAGCAATCTAGGTGAGGCAGTATAGTGTCGGAATTGCAAGCTCAGAGGGAGTCACGTGAAGGGAAAAGAGAGGGGGACGAAGCTACAGGGGAGACTGAAACCAAACAGAGAGGGAAATTAACGAGACCTGACCTGACTCGAGGGAAGAGGTAAAAAGCAAAGTATGGGTATTTCTCTCTTATTGTTTTAGTAGTATGAATTATGGAGAATGGTGTGGTAGCTACTAGCTAGGGAATCAGGTTCAATCGGAATCGGCAATGCATGTATGGTCTACATTCTACAACAAGGTATTTTGAGTTGTAATTGGTAGTTGAGTAACATTGAAAAAATCGGTGATCTTTCCTTTTTTTTTTTTTTGGCTTCCATCGATACGATAATATATTGTTGTTTTGGAATGAAATGACCGAATAAGAACATTGAAGCTCAATGTTAGTGTGTTGCGTACGGTGAATAATTAATTAAATTAATTAGTAACAAGGGGCAATGATTGAAATCTGGCCATCCACACCACCAAGCTGTGCTGTGAATTTTATGATAGCGGGCCTCCTTTTTTTCTCTTCTTCTTCTTGTGTGGGCTGTGAGCTGTGAATGTGATTATTTACATTTACATAAATGAATGAATGGTATGGATCAGATCAGTAGGCAGGGGATGCAGAAAAAGGATATTGGTGCGGTGGCCATGTGATGTGAGTTTAGGTTTACACAAGTTTGTTGGGTAAAGGTTGGCTTTGGGACGGGGGTAATAAATTATATATCAGTACCTTAACGTAGCTGCCTCGCCATCTGATTCTGATCTAACGACTGGTAATTGCTGGAATAAAACTTGGCTTTGGGAATCTACGAAATGAGGTTTTAAAATCAAGGCAGGGCAGGCACAAGCACCACAGTCCACCACCCAGGTCCTGGAGTGAATACATACTGCTGCTACTGCTGTTGTTTCCCACTCGGCCGGCCGGTGCTTAATTTAACACAACAAGACAAATGTAAGGTGCAAAATTAACGTCACCAGATTTCAATTACTTAATTAATTGAGCATCACTCTGTCGGGGTGTTCTTTCTTACTGCCCCTAAATAAAGTACTGACACAATGAAAATGATTGTCAAAGCATTAGCTCATGAATTAGAGGTAGAGGGTTATAGGTATAATATGCCCCTCTACTATGACATTTTATCAAACATGCTTTTTTATTATTTTTTATATCAAACATGTTCTTGTACTTTGTAAAAACGATCAAACATGCCCTTTTGTTAAAATTTCCATCCAAAAATCGTTAACCAAGGCCGAACTTTAGTTTGGGCGATCCAAATGACTAAAATATCCCTAATAAATTCATTTTAGAATTTTTTTGGTTCCTTTGTATAATCAAATCATTCAAATAATTCCACTTTGAAAAGACCCAGGGAAATAAAATAGGGGACAAAACTGACATTTTCCCTCCCATTTGCCGATGTCGGGTCGTCTAAATCTCGGTTCAACCATGATTGATGATTTTTTTCAATGGAAATTTTAACATAAGGGCATGTTTGATAAGTTTTTCAAAGTACATGGGCATATTTGATGTAAAAAATAGTAGAGAGACATGTTTAATAAAACTTCATAATAGAGAGGCATGTTATACCTATAACCCTAAATTAGAAGGTAAAAACCATTAGCTCAGTACTTAGGCTTTGTTGGGTACTAGATCGGGCGTCACTGCTAATACTGGCTTCGGCCCGCCCCAAAGCTTGGACTGAAAACAACAGTGAGAATGAGGAGGGCTAACCGGCTAAGCTGGATCTAAAAAAACTTGGCCTCTGGGCCCTGTTTCATACCAACATCATCTTTCTGTCCTTACACGGATTGTTTGTTTTCTCCCCTTACTCCATCTTCGGCTTCTATAGTGTGGTTCTTCTCGTGAATTACGTAACGTTTTAGAAACTCTATTATATCGATCCGTCGATCGAATAAGAGATATTAAATAACTAACCACAAATGATATACGATATTAACATTGCGAAAATAGTTGAATCACGGTCTAACCACGATTTTATCATTAAAAAAATACTCATCCAAAAAGCTAATTTGTTTGGGAGATGGTGCAGTGGGGGAAACTGGCTCCAATGGCTGCACAATTCTCCGGGGTCTTGGCTAACGTTCTGGGCTTTCTAATGTGGGCCAATCCTGATTTCCCATGTGCTCTGTTTAAGTCTTTCCATGGGCCTTGACCCATTTGTGTACGCTCCTCAGTTTGGATGTCTGTTACCTACATTAACACTTAGCAATTAGCATACCAAAGATGAAGGTCGAAAAACCACAGGACAAGAAAATGAGACATATGGATCCTTTGAATCGCACGCATACCCGCAATAGCCCTGAAGCCCTCAAAGCACAACGCAAACAGTAACGGAGACAGAGGGTCTAGTTTGTAGTTTTAGTGTTTCACAAATAGAAGGAGAAAAAAAAGCCGATTAGAACCCCATTCATGAGCTGGTTGGGGTAGACCTGACAAATTACAACTCGACTTGTTGAACAGACCAGAACCCGCCCGAAAATAGAAGTTTTTATGAACCGAAATCCGAATGACTCGAACCCGATAACCCGTTATTTTTTTGGCCGAGTTGGGTGGGTTAGTGGGTCGACCCGTTAGACCCGTTCCATTTCATATGTAACTCACAAAATGATAAATTACTCATAAATTGGTGAGATGTTTAAAAAAATTCACAAGGATTTGAAAGACATGTTTGGAATTTAAGGATAATCAAATATCATGTGTTTCTTGTAGTAGTATCACTCTTGTGATTGTTTTTTGACGATTTTTGCAATTTGTATTTCATTTCATTAGCATGAGAAGATTTGAGAATATGTTAATTGACATGTGTTAGGTAAACTATTGTCATGAATATGTGAAGATTTGTGTTCGTTAAAAAATTATGAAGCATGTTTGATATAGTTTCTGAGAGCGCTAATAACCCAAAACGACCCGAAACCGAATGGGTTGGGTCAATAATTAACCCGAAATAAGCCAAGCCAACATGACCCAACCTATAATCTGAAACTCCAATCCGAAATTATCTAATCCGACCCGATTACCAAGTTTCGTTGGGGGCAAAACTCATATTTCTTGAAAAATTGGAAGAAAAACCCATTCCTTAGAAGAGAAGTTAAAAGAGTTTGGTGGACATACATAGACGCACTATTGCGGTACGGACCTCCATCTTTGTTTTTAAGGTTTGGGCAAAGAGTAACGGGCTTAACTTATTAGACCACATACTGGGCCGAGGCGGACTTAAAGTTCACAAATCCTACTCAGTCAGTCACAGGCCCAATCCAAATTACGTTGGTGTCATTCTCAATTTGAATAGAAATGAGTGGCTGAGGTGACTAAACATGGATCATGGATGCATGGATGAAGTCGTTGACTCTAAAAGTCAGCTGACAACTGCTTTAACAACTCTGTTTTAATATAATAATAATAATAATAACAATATAAGCCCCACGAACACACGTCTGCCTCATAGAATAGAATATTATCAACATTCATTACCCATTTGAAAATGATTATAAATTAACGCTTCTGCAAAAAAAAAAAAAAAAAACTCATGAAACGTGTTTCTTTTTTTCCCAGTTGCAAACACGCGTTCCCAGTCCCCATCATTAGTTGACAATTACTCCAAACATTCTCTGAAATCGAATATGAATCCTGAAAAAAACCTCATATATTAGACGACGCCGTGGGAAACGAGGGTATGCAGAAAATGAACATGAAGACATGTCTTCCTTTGCCTTTCGTTTCCATTATTTATCTGGGCTTTTCTCCTTTCTCCACACACGATGCAATGCAAAGCAAAATCGACCTGAGAAAAATTATAACAATAAAGATTAAGAAACCGCGGGAGCACAGGATTTTGATCGAGTCCCACACGTAGTTCAACTATTATTTGACTTGTATTATACCTTCGTCATGCCATCTTCATTGCACAGACTTTGCGAGTTACGTTTCCTCCACCTAGCTAGTAGATGAACCTAATCACGTGGATTAATATCCTTGAATTGTGTGGTTTTGTGATGAATTTTTGGTATTGGGGTTTAAATCGTTGTTCATCTTTACGTTGGATGGGGGTTCACATTGTAACTTGGCATTGTTGTCCAAGTTACTCCTCCTACAAAGGATTGCTTGTAAAAGTTCCGGCATGCAGAGAGTGCGTAAACACGACATGGGGTGAATTACGTAAACTTATGCGTTATGCGATTGTCTTTCAGTTTGTGAGTGATCCTATCACATGTGTTGAGTGATGTTGCAAAGCTTACATTGTCTTTTACTTTGTCAATTCAGAAACAAAGGACAATTTGGCCAATTGTTTCGTTTTATAAAAATGCGTCAATCAGAACTTCCTGACTCGCCCGCAAACAATTGGAATTGACTCGTACCGGAAATTCTTCATATCAAATTGTTTCATCCAAATTTTCAAAGTTCTCTACTGACAAACAATTCAAATTATCTCAAAACAATATAATTGAGTTAATAATTAATCGGTTACAATTCATCACCCAAACTAGGGCTGGAGATCGGTCGGTTTAATCGAAAACCGAATTTTCGGTTAATGGTTAACCGAACCACCTTCCAAACCTACCGACCACCGACCGAAAGAGGGCTCAACGCTTCGGTTATCCCGGTTATTTGTTAACCTAACCGCCTCCCAAGACCAAAACCATCTCGCCCAGCCTCCAAACACCGACCGACCTTCGGTTATCCCGATTTTCGATTATTGGATAACCTACCTATTTCGATTGTAACCGATCGGTTAACCGCTAACCGAGAACCAATTGTCCAGCTCTAACCCAAACCCAAGCAAAATTCTTTCAATGCCCTTGAAAGAAGGGCAAGGGAATGTGGTGGCTAGCTAGAGCTAACTAGGGAGGCATTTGCTGATGGATCCAAATTTGAAATGTGGAGTGAGTCGTCTTCTTCCCATTGAAAAAGCTTACACGCATTGCCCACTACCGATCCAGCAAATGCTAAAGGGATCGGTTGCAAGGAAAAGAAATAGCCTTTGATTAGCCCCACTCCTCTCCTCTCCTCTCCATCGCCTTTGGCTTCACCAGTTACTCGGCTAGCTGTGTCGCTAATCGGAATAAAGCTTTTGTCTTTGTTGATGTTTTCGCACTTGGAAAGTGCAAACCAATCGAGTTGTTGGGAGAACTCACGGGCTTGAAGTTTGCACAGGCTCATTATTGGGGGTCGTGGAGATTCGAACACACAACTATTTATCAAACCAGCTCTGATACCATATAATAACTCGAGTTGTTGGAAAAAGATACGCCGAATCCATATCACAGTCTTACATCCCATACTGTACATTTTCATGTCATCTCTTTTCTCTTTGTTTGCTTTGCTTTGCTTCCTTTCCTTCTTTTGGGCCATTTTAGCAGCAAACGTAACTACTTTTGTTGGTGATTTCTTTTGTCAGTTACAAGGAAGGAATGGTCCCTTACTCTCGTTCCCATATATATTTGACCAGACCATTATACTAGCTGAGCCTTTTGACATGGAAAGTTCGCCCTAAGACTCTACGGTCCCTTTTCTTCTCCACAAAACTTGTTCTTCCGTTTTGATTCCACTACGACCCATAACGTTCGTATTGACCAGCATGATGGAGACTTTATCTAGTGCATTGGGAAACTTCAATGAAGCGCATTATTAGGAGCAAACACCACACAAGAACGACTTTAAGGTCTATGATTAAT